GGGCTCCAGCTGCGCTGGGGAAGCGCCGGCCGGGGGCGCAGGGTCTGGGGGCTGCCCGGCAAACCGTGAAGCCGGTAGCGCTCAGGCAGCCCTTTTTGCGTGGCTGGGAGTGAGACGGGGGAGGGGCGGAGTTAGGGTGGGGTTGGGGCAGGGAAGGGGCGGAGTTGGGGCGGGGCTGAGGGTGGGAAATGGGCGGGGCCAGGGCCCCATGGAGGGTTCTCTTTTTTTATTTGTCAAATATGGTAACCCTACTTTATCCAGTTTGTATGTAACTATGGTATAACTGTGTATGCAATCATGATATTTGCAAATGCAATCATGCAGTCACTTGTGTGCACATATGAGTCATGTGTCCACATATTTAGATGTCCAGATTATATATTAAACTGATGTTGGTAGAAAGAGAGAGGTTTTACTATACATTAATCTTTTCTGCACCCTATGCCATGTTTTCAATGTAAAATAAATTAAAGGTGTTAAAGAATTGGTAATGGGTGATTTTTGAGATTTTACACAAAGAGAGAGGAGCTTCTGTTTCTAGTTTCTTATTCATTATTCATTTAATTTCTTGGTCACAGATAAGAATAATAATACTTAGCTCTTTTATATGGAGCACTTTTCATCAGTCGATCTCAAAGCACTTTACAAATGGAGGTCAGTATTATTACCTTTGTTTTACAGATAGGGAAACTGAGGCAAGGACTTGCCTAAGGTCATGCAGCAGGCCATTGGAAGAGCTGGGAATAGTGTACTGTATATTGTAATTTACCATGTAGTTACATTGACGTTACAGTGCAGTTGTGCTTTGCTTTTGTTCATTGATACCGGTAACTACCACTTATTCATCTAAGAATACATGACTCAGAATAATTACAATGTAAATACAATATAGTTAATACACCTGGATTCTTATATTACCTATATTAAGTAGAACACCATAGGGCAAATAATAAGCAGCAAATTATCCCCAAATATTCAGGGAAGTGAAGACTGGGCATGAAACTGAGTTTTCTGTAGCTGAACTTTTTTCATGTGCTTACCATATTTGTAAAATTGGCAGGAGTATGTGTGTGTGGGAGGGGGTGGGGGTTCTTATTTGGTACTTACAGTCATGTGGATCATGTGAAGGACTGTAGTGCAAAAAGTCAAAAAAACTTGCTCCACTTAATTCTTCTGGATGCTTAGGCGGTTTTGTACAATCACAGAATCCAAGAAAAGCTGTCTTTTGTAAATCTGAGGTAATACCACTTAAACAAATGTCTCTGAGCACAGTGGTGTATATGTAGCCTATTTCCCAGTGCCAGGATGATAGATTTTTCATGCAGTTGTCTTTCTGTTAGTAGAAATATAAAACTTCCATCAAATACCTAGAGAGTCTGTGACAAAATCCAAGTTCTAACAAAAGAACTGTATACTATACAGTAGGAGCAAAGTCGTATACTATAATCTAATGTCATATTTAGTCACATTAATGCCCCAGAAGTGAGTGCGTAGTATAGCAGAGGAAATAATTATTCACCAGACATGCATAGTGGTTAAAGAATAGGAGAGTTACACTTCCAGATGTTTATTCTATTGAAATAACTGGTCTGCTCATTCTATCCCCATCTCAAAATACTGTACTAAGAATAGCATGACCTTCAGTTTTAAATAGTAAAGAAAATAAATGCTTTGTTTCTATCCAATTTAGTGTTTGCAACAAACACATTTTCTTGCTACATCTAAATTAGTACTGCTGTTACCTGCTTCTGAAGAGACACAGAGCTTGAAATAAAATCTCTCACTAGATCCATTAAAACCTTCAAGCAGGACAAGTTTAATTTGGCAGCCTCTCCAAGGACCAACAAACCTAATACAGAATCCAACCTAGATATTTCAAGACAAAAAAAAACTTTAATACAAAATAAAATAATAATGGATTTTTAAAATATTGGCTAGCCAGAAGCAATTAGTGTCCTGGTTTGATAGAATCAATTAGTGTCAATAAATGCAGGCATTTGTTGGAGCCAGTTAACATCAAAGTCTAGAGAGCAAGTGAAAGTGTACCACAGATTTATGGAGATTTAGTGAGTTTAATGTAAAGGTCTGACAATATCCAGGCCCTGGAAAAGCACAAACTTATCACATTTCTTTCTGGAGCCACAGTAAAGGCAGATGAACTAGCTCTATGCTTTAATGGTTTCTTAGTTCTGTTACACCTTGACATCATTCATGGATTGAACATTTTGGTACTGGTAACAAGTAGTTCACTGCTAGATCTTAAAAGTACTAGGTTTCTGTTCAAATGGTGGGGAATAAGGCAGTAGATAATGATATATATCACTTCGTTTAATAGAAAAAATAAACTGTTTTCATAGTAATTGAAATTAATGTTAGCAAAGCTCTATGAGATATCTAGTCCACTCCTCTGCTAACCCTTAGGGCCAACATGTTGGCCCTACCAGTGACATAGGAGTTATTTGGCTAACTAGAAGGGAGAAAAATGATGATTTGTCATAATTTGCTGACAGGTAAACAAAGGGTAATGTTAACTAACAATGAATCAAATTGGAGGGAGGTTTCTAGCAAGGCACAAGCCCACGCTGAGTTAATTGCCCAAAATGGCAATGCTATTATAGGACCACTGCTTGCAGCACCTTGCTGACAAAGAAGGCTTCTACAGAGAACAGAAAGTCCATTTTAAAATGCCTAATAAAGATGTTAACTGATCACCATGTTGTTGCCCTGCAGATCTCTGCAGGGAAAGTACAAGCTCTTTCTGCCCAAGAAATCGCCATAGACCTTGTGAAGTGTACCTTGATTCCATGTGGAACAAGAGTACCTGACATCTAGTATGCTTCTATGAAGCATAGCTCGATCCATCTAGCTAGTGACAGCTTGAATATCTTGAGTTCTTGATATTCTGGATGAAAGAAGGCAAACAAGGAGCCCAATCTTCTTGTCGATTTTGGTGTGCTTCGTATAGATCTTTAGTGCTCTTTGAACACCTGAGTGCCACATCTTTTCTGTTGGATGCTATGGCTTTGGACAGAATGAAAGGAGAACCATTTCCTGTGAGACATGGGATGACAAATTCACCTTAGATAAGAATGATTCTAGGGTTCTTAACACGGCCTTGTCATAATGGAACACACAGTGGGGACCCTGCATGGATAAAGCTGCTAGTTCAGAAACTAATCTAGCAGATGTGATGGCTACCAGAAAACAGGTTTTGATGGATAGGTAGAAGAGATATTAATTTCAGTGGCTCAAAAGGGTGCATTGTTATCTAACTGCAAGTTTAGCCAGTCTCACTACTCAGAGAAATCAAGATAATTGAGGGCTCTCTGTCAAGGAATCAGAGGATCCTGAGAATAGGTCGTTACTTATAACTGACACCTGGTGCACTGTTGTGTTGGGCTAATGTCCTTTTTCATCAGCTTCCTGAAGAAAGTCCAGGATAACTGGGATACCAGGATCCTTGGGATTTTTGTTGTGTTCAACACCACAAGCTAAACCTAGTCCAGATGGCTTTAGTGTTGAAGCTTGCCTGGAGGAGAAGAATAGAGTTCCAAGCACTTTGGAAGTGCTGCTAACACTTCCCTCTCAAAACCCAGGCTGTCAGTTGTAGATGGTCTGGGTCTTGATGAAGGATTGAACTTTGGTAAAGGATGTCTGGTCTCACTGGTAGCTGCAATGGTGGTTCTAACTTCAGTTCTATCAGATCAGAGAACTTTGGCCTCCTTGGCCAGTGCAGAGCTAGCATTATCACCTTTGCTGCTTCTTGCTTTATCTTCTGGATCACCTTTCCTAGAAGTGAAAAGGTGGGGATGTGAATAGCAGGTCTTGTGGCCATCTGTGCAAAAGAGCATCCATCCCCAGGGAGTTGGGGTCTGCTTCCCTGATGAAATACTGCAAAATCAGAGAGAAAAATTTCTGATTCAGGCACCATTCTGAGCTGTTGACTGCATCTGCTGAGCCAGACTGCCTTTTAGTTCTGCTGTCCTTTATGTGTATTGCTTTTATGGAAAGAAGAGTCCTCTCTGCCCATTCCACTACCTCCATCAATTTTGCATGCAGAGTTACACTCCTGGTTTCCCCTTTATTGTTAATATACACCACAGTGGTCGGTTTTTTTTTCAGCTGGATGAGAACGTTTCCTCTTTAGGTAGTTCTGGAACTTCTGTAGAGTTAGCTTGACAGCTCTGCACTCCAATAGGTTGATGTTCTTGTTCCTTTCTCTGGGATTCCAGGTGCCTTACACTGTCCTGTTTCTCAGATGCACTCCCCATCGCAGCAGGCTGGCATCAGTTGTGAGTATATGCAGATCTGGAAGGCATGTGGGAAGTCCCTTGCAGACATTCTGTGGGACTGTCCACCATATTACAGAGTTCAGCACCTGGCTTGGATCCAGTATCTCATCTTACATGCTTCCAGGTGAACAGTTCCATACTTTCAGGAGAAAAGCCCTGAAGCACGTAATATGGGACCTTGTTCATGAATTGATTTCTGAACATGAAACCACGAGGCCCAGTAGCTGTAGACATTATAGTCGGCCTTGCATAATTTAGCAACATGGATATCAGGTACTGGATCTCGTGGTATTTGTGCAGTGATTTGTCGACCTTTGAGCATAAGTTTCTATTTCCACTCCCATGTAAACTATCTTTGTGGAGGGAATCAAGGAACTCTTCTTGGAGTTTATCATAAATCCATATGCTTGAAGCAGATTCAGCATCCAGACTGTGGCACTGAGTGCCACTGCTTGGGTGGGAGCTCTAAGGAAGATGTCATCTAGAAAGGGAACAGATGAGTGCCCTGAGACCTAAGGTATGGCTATTATTACCACAGGCATCTTGGTGAAGACCCTAGGGGCTGATGAAAAGCCAAATTGGAGTGATGGGTATGAGTAGTGAACTGTTGTTTTGAGATGGGGGACTGGATGAAGAAGGGATAGGGCGGGGCTTTAGTTCGAGGAGTATCTGCAACATGCCACCTCTCTCACCCACTTCTGTGGTCAATCAAAACCATTATTCTGAGAAGTGGAGAATTCTGCCTTGCAGATTCAGGTTTGGGTGGAGATAAGTTTGTTTGCTGTCGTACTGGGCTCTTAGAGGCAGTGGACCACCTCTGGATTTTCCACCCAATCCCGTTCCAGGGTTTTCCCCATATATATCTGCTGCCTTTCCTCTGGTATCTTTATTTGGGAGGACTGACAATCTTTGTTGCTAGGTTTGTAGTTCCTCTTTAGAGCACTGAGAGGAGGAATTGTTTTGGTTTGGCAGAGCTTTCTGCCACTATTTTGTCTAGTTCTTCCCCAGAGAAAAGAGAGCCTGTGAATTTAGATAAGCACAGGACTTTTTGGAGTGAATGTCAACCTTCCAGCTGTGGAGCCAGATGTGGCATCTGGTTGCTGAGCTGGATGCCATGTCCCTGGCTGAAAATCTCATTGCATCCATTGACGCATCCACAAAAGCTGTTGCTAGGGAAATTTTCGTAAGAGTAGACTGGAAGTCAGGATGGTCTCTTTCATAGCACTAAGGACATCCAGCCAGGACACAGTGGCTCTTGCAAAGCATGTAGCTGCCAGAGATGCTCCAAGGGTGGTCAATGAAGACTCAAAGTTCCTTCTTTAGGATGTTTTTCACCTTTCTATCAGTTGGATCTTTGGGAAAGAAATCCCCAGTCCCCTTCATATGGTGTTACTATATATTTTACCTGAGATGCCACTGCAGCACCAATGTTTGGTATATCTAATGGCATTTTTTTTGGCTCTTGCAATTTGTAATACCTAAGTGTATACCTGCTTATGTGTTTGCCCTTATTAGGGGTTTCCCATTCGTCTCTGATCACATCCTTGAAGTATGAATGCAGTGGGATTGCTGTCTCCGAAGAGGATTTAGAAGACAAGCCTAAAGGGAAACCTATCTTCTGGTTGGATCTGGATTGTGGATGTGACCTTTTTGCACATGGTTTCAAATGCTTCAGAGGGCCAAAACCTTTTTACCCCCCCCCCCCATGTTCTGCTCAGAGCCTCAATCTGAGAGGTCCCCTTCCTCAGTAAAAGAGGAGGTGTTTGAGGCAGAGGATGAATACCTGCTATATGCTATCTTTTTATATACCTTTTATTTCCCTTTTTTGCTCTTTTTGAATTTTTTAGCCTTTTTTGGCCAACTTTTCAGTGGTTGCCACCCAGCTGTTTCTAGGGCATGGTCTTTTGCAGTTTGTTTTATACAGTGCCTTCAGCCCTCTGGATATCTCTCTCTCACTGTCCTCCCCCTCAGGGTTGCACTCCCCCTGCCTGGGGAATAGGGTTTCATTGCCAGAGTTCCCTGATTCAATTTGGGAAGAAAAGGAGCTGAGTGTGAGTGTCATTTCTCTCCTTAATGAATTTATGACCCATTTGGGAGGGGGGGGATCTTTTAGGTCTTGTTCTGTCCTGGGTCAGATGAAGTCCTCCTTGTCATTGGCGTCTCCGAGTTCTCACTCTGGTTGGTCTGCGTCTCCAAATCAGACTTTTCTGTTTGGATTCACAGCTTCTTGGGGCAAGGGTGTGGACCCAACATTCCTGTGCCCTAGCAGTACAAGAGTCTGTTGACTGAGAACAGGCAGGGCATAATTTGCCCTCCGAAGAGTTTACAATAGCTTCCTTACAGATACACCACCATTTGGTTTTAACTCGGTGGTTGTGAGACAGCTCTGCTATGCCTGAAAAGGAGCAAAAGGGTCTGACGGTGAGGGGCTGCAGTGCTGGGCTGGCTGAGACCACCTGAGGTGGCAGAGACCACCTGACTGCTCCATACCCAGTCCAGGAGATGGAGGAGAAAGGCTGCTGACTACTGTCTGAAAATATGGATAAAGTAATAAGCTGGCAAAGAGAACTGAAC